ATGTTTTGGGGATTTACTTTAATATACCATAATTTCTTTTGTAGTCAGTTACACAACACCCACCTGCTGCTAAGGACAGCAAATGACTGCTTTTCAGTAGACCTTGTACTGGAAATGCCAGGGCTGAAAGCATTGCCTCTAAAACACTGCCTGCAAGCCCCTGGTTCTGTGGGAATCAGGTGCTTCAGATAAATGACTTTAAAGGAAATTAAACAAAATTCATTATAGTAGTAGTAAGCAGATAGATACTGTTGGTTTTAAATCTTATTTCTTGGTGAGTTCCAAGGCAGCTGGACAGAAAAGTGAATCTGAAAATTTAGTAGACACCTACTTGTGTTTTGACATGGCTAAATGTAAATCCCTTTGAATATATGGCCCTCTCTCAACTGAGAAGAAAGGAAGAAAGAAAAGAAGATTGTTTTTAATATCTGACTCATCCTTTAAAGCTTTTTTGAAGTGACAGTATGTAGGAGGGTAGTAAGTAAAAGAGAAGAGCAATGCCTTGGTAGTCAAGCAAGACAGCCCTGATCCTACCTAGCTAACATAAGATACCTGGTAGGTGTCTTACATACAGATTTCCTATCCAAAGTCTGAGGAAAAGGGCACGAGTATAGCAAATAAGCCAAGCAGGCCAGAGCAGAGGATTGGGGGTGTCCAAAAACTTTTACTATTTCAGATCACATGCTATGAAAGCTTAGCCTACAAAGTCCATCAGAAGATCGTTTTTCTGTGCTAATTTCCTTTCTTTTTATTATTTTTTGTCAGTGTTGTTCTAGTATTTCTGAAGTGTTTCTAAAGTCACTTGCAGTCACATTTTCCATAAGTAGCATGAAAGAACATGTGACCATCCACCCTCTCCCAGTCTCCCACTTGTGAGCCTTCCCTTGCTGAGCCCATTATAATTGTGTGTAGGGAGGGGCGACTACCCCCTTTCCAGAAGGGATAATCAATGGTAATAGTGAGAGCAGTTATGTGCTTTATTTCCATCTTTTGAAAGGTTCTCAGAGACCCATTAACTCTGATAGATAAGGATGTGGGGAACAAAGGAACAAGTGATTCTCTATTCCCCCTTTGGTGCTCTGTAGCCCATTAGATGAGAAACTGATGTAGAAAGATATATCAGAAACATTAGCAGGAGATCATAGATAAAACACAGCAGAAAATGCATGCTAATATGAATAGGTCTCGGGGCAGTGTGTTTTCAGTGGATTTAGACAGCTTGATCCATTGCTGTGAGAACCAGGTGCTGCACAGTCTCAGAGAGATTTTCTAGAACTCTAATGACAAAGACATAAATGTTAGTGACAACACAGCTGAACTTGACTGACCTTCAGTAAGAAGCTTCTAACTACTGAGTTCATTCCAGAGTCTGTCCTCAGCCATCCTCTCTACAAACACTCAGGTTCTTCTCAGTGCCAGTATATGTTTAGAGTTCTAAATTTCAAAACCTAAAATAAATGGAGATTTGTTGACAGAAAACTTAATTGGTTGATTTTAATGGCAAAAGGAGCAACACTGTATTATAGGGATGGTTACTCCAGTAATTTTTTCATATGAGCTCATTAAATTCCTCTGTATTTGAAGTTACCAAAAGCCATAGCTGCATTTCAAAACTGTGGAAAACTGTATATAGATCTTTTTTCATGAGAAGCCAGCCTTAAATAGCCTTGAAAACAGGCCTAATTTATGACGTTTGTTATAATCTGAGGAAGAGAAATACAGAGTTTTTCTTTGGAGCTACTGAGAGTGTTGTTGAATTACTGTAGTACTAGATGTGAATTATTGGCACATTAAGTTAAGTTTTGTGCCACGATGTTAAGTTAGTTTTATGAATTGGGCCTTTGTTATTTAGGAGGCCGGCATGGGAAGCACTGGGGCTGTCATTAGTCAGGCCCATCCACATTTTATTGCTACTGTTAGGAAGTCAGCATTCCAGCCTATCATAAAGCACGGCAGTTTCCATGCTTACAGAACTAATTCTTCATCACAACTCCCTAGCTCTAGACGTCCCTGTCTCTGCTCAGCTCTACAAAAAGCAGCAGCAGGAGCAAATGCCACCATGAAGGGCAGTGAGGGCAGAAAGGGAACTGGGAGCTGGCCAGGGCACCGAGGGGAGCTCAGCTCACTCTCTCACAAACCCTTGCAGTCAGGCACAGCTCCCTAAAGGCTGGCCAGGCTGGGTATCCAGTGCTGGAGCTCTGGGTGTGGAACAGGCTGGTGAGATGTGCCAGCACTTCTGACAGGATGCAACGGGCACCAAACTTCACAGCATCTGCAGATGCCACCGAGAGTGCAAACCAAGCTATGGAGAGTGCCTGCAGTCCCTGCTGGATCTCTGCAAGGAGCAGCTGCTGACTCCCACACGGAACTCAGCACCAAGGGACTTAGAGGTGCATGGGCTGCAGTCAGCTGTACAGGAGCTGGCTGCAAGACAATGTCATATCTAAGCAGAATTTCTCGGCCTATTTAAAAATACATTTATTTGAATATGAAACTCCTTTAATTCTCCTGCAGACCAAAGAGATGGCAGAAAGTATTATAGGCATGGATGTCCCCTTCAAACACTACAATTTTCTAGCTTTCTAGTCAGCAACTCGGAGATGAAAATGCAGCAGTTCGGAAAAAGATCTTTCATGAAGTTGTCATGGGTCCATTTAATCTTGTGCAAACTTCATGCATGCATGAAAGACTTAAGCATGGAGAAGCAGAGAAGAATCTTGCTTTAAAGACCAAAGCTCTCAGCAGGCATTTGAGGAAAGGAATAATAAGCAGAAGCATCTGTGTGGAGTATGCAGCCAGTGTGAAAGCTGCTTCTGTCACTGCTGTGAGGGCAAAAGAGAGCTCTCCTTCCTCAGGTGACACAGCATGGGATGGACATGAAACTCATTGCTCAGAACAACTCACTTCTGCCTCACGTTTTCCAGGGAACACAGAAAAGTGTTACTGGCTGCAAGTGCCATTTCTCTCTGCTGAAATGCAGCTCTCTCATCTTCAGCAAAGTAAATTTGTGTTTGTGAAGTACAGTCTTGTAAAATAGCTTGATCAGAAAACTGAATCTTTGGGGTGTTAAAGAAAAAAATTGCTTCAATGAAAGTTGAGTTCTTATACCACAAAAGCAGTGCCCTTATGAAAGACAGAGGCAAAGGATGTCATAAAACCAGAACCAGTTCACCAAATTTGCAAATACAAATGCACTGGAATTCATTGATTTGCTAAGTTACTGTGGAGTGGCCAAAGCCCAGAGTGCTGTGCAGCCCTGAAGAAGGAGCTCGTCAGGTTGGAGTGATGGGAAAAGGGTCCTTGGCAACTGTTCTGTATCAAAGGTGGAACTTTACTTTAAAACATGAGTACTTAAGAGTTTAAGCTCCTTCACTTGACTAATGCACTTTGCTACAGACAATCAAGCCTGCAGAACCTTCTTACAGAAATCTGTGGAAACAAAATGAGTAATCTGGTTTCTTGAAGCTGCTCCTCTACATTATTATGCTTCTACCATGGAGCAGAACAACTTTGATTTGATATTAGACCACTTTTTTGTGCCAGTGTTTAGATTCTGAGATAATTCTTTGTAACTTAATCAAAACTGTTTTTTTTCTGTTTCATAGGTTGATGCAGAAGGAACACAGGAGGATGTTTTCCTGGAAATCTGCAAGACAATTGACTGTTTTCTGAAAAAGGAAGAGGCAGCATTTTCTTTTTCAGCAGAAATGCAGTAATGGTGTGTAAGGTGTGTACACAGCCTTGCCCATGTGCACCCCACAGCCATGATTTGCTGGTCAAAGCAGTGCTGCTTCCTTGAGAGGTATCTGGAATTTGTGCATGTGGTGTGTTACTCTAGATGAAATCTTTGTTCTGACAGTACACTCAACAGAAAGTGATCTGTATGCTAACCCCACTCTAAGAACTGTATTTTGTTTTCTTGGGTGTTTGCTCTTCACAGGTTAAAAGCAGCAAGGTGAGCAGCAGCTCTGGTTTTGTATTTCATGGTCACACACATTCCATGGGAAACGGGACAGTGCCTGGCCACCAGGGAGCTCTCACCACCCAGCCCACTCACTGTCCAGCAGACTGACATTAGAGTTATTGCATACAAGTTTCCCATTGATTATTATTTTCTTTTTATTAACAGTATTAATTTGTGTGTTGTCACTTAGCTTGTTCTTGGGCTTTAGTGACTGAAACCTGTTCTCTGTAACATGCAGCTCTAAGAGAGCTGGAATTAGTCAAGCTGCAAGTTAAAATAAACTTGTCACACATCCCCAGAACACTGCTGCAAGGAGAAAAATTCGTTGAAGATACAGTTGAATGTTGTGGAAGTCTGTAAATCCATTATTGGCGAACAGACACCGTTTTTGAGACAGTCTTGTCTTCTGCTAGGAATGTTATGATTTTAGAACTGACTTCCCAGTTTTGTGAGCTGAGAATGATTATTGTATTGTATAGTTAAATGCAATCCAGTAATGATCCATATTAACAGCAATTGTGCTATAGCTATTAAAGTCCATATGTAAAGCTGGTTATGAGCCAGAACATCTCATGTCATCTTTCAAGTATTTCAAATGCAAAATTCAGATCATCTGTTGTCTTGTACTGGCATTGCCAAAACTTGGGAGGGTGTGGTGGGGTGGGAAACCAAAAAAAGGAAAATGTCAGGGATTATTTGATTCATGTTGCTTGCACCTTTAGTAAGCCATTTATCTGTAATCTGCAAAAAAAGTCTGTAAAAGTGCTATTGTATTTCTGTTAGGTTAACTAAAATATTGTGGAGTTTCTTTGGTAATACTGACAGCTTAAATAAACGCTTGTTTGACATTCCTGTAAAGTAACTGCATCCTCTTACTGGAACTTCTGGATGAATTCACAGTGAAAGTGGGTTGCATGATTGCTTGTACTGTCAAAGGTGTACTTTATGCAGCAGATTTGCATTTTTAAAGTTACCTTTCTTGTAATGAAGACATAATACAAATAAAACGTACAAAAATGAGAAGTAATGATTTCTGTTACAGAATATGTGGGTTTAATCCTTTTCAAAGCACAGTACATGACTTGAAAATATAGCTCAAATCAGCATGCTTACAGAGTATGTCCTTTTTCCAATCAGGGCAGATTCTTCTGTTTCCTTTTCTTCCTTAGCATTTGCCCTGTAGATGCTAATTCAATTACTTTTTAGGGTCTGTTTTACGTATGTTATCCTTCATATCCTGGATGTTCCTTCTTTCCTGGGTCCTTCTATAGCCTACATTTTACCTCTGGTGCTCTAGGAAGTGCTTCTCCAGCTCCAGCCAGTGCCATTGAGCAGCAGCAGCAGCGCCTGCAGTACCACACCAGCTCCAGAGGGCAGCTCTGGCCACACGCACCAGCAGCCGCTGCTGGAGGAGCTTCTTTTTTAAAAGTAGCATACTCTGCAGTTACCATCAAGTTGCAAATTCATCTGGGTAGGTTTCCTGGAGTATTTTCTATTATATTTAAATTACAGTAGAAGTTATAAAGTGTGGAGTCTCATACTTGTGCAGGATGGGAACAAAGGCAACAATCAGCTGCTATTTTGATGGGGTTTTTTAAATCAAATTACAAAAATTATTTACCATACACTTTCAGTTTAATTTTTCTTTCTGCTTCTGTCTTTTCTGTGGAAAAAACAAAAAACATCCCATGCTTGGTTTGGTGTATGTGCATTAGATACCTATTTGCATACGTTCATAATGTATGCAGGAGAAATAGCTGTATATGCATGCATAGGGAAACATTAATATTTATACATATTCAATAAAATAGGACTTATCCAAGACACTTCTTTCTTGGGTGATTCAGACTTGAAATTATCCTTTGGCTTCCAACCTTGTTCCAAGGGTGCCAAGATCTTTTGTTCTTTCCAAGCTATCCTAAATTGACGACTGAGTATTTTCTCTAATTTACTTTTCTTACTTTATTCCCATGATTTTTCAGGATACAAACAAAATGAATGTAACCACAGATCCTCCTCCTGATAATACACCTTCACCAACTCTAGTTTCCTATAAAGACCATGAATGATGTGGAAAGCATATTTTTATGGTCTTAGAAAGTCTCTCAGAGCAGTATCTTTTCCAATTAAAACTAAAATACATAATATGAGTTTTGTATTGTGGTTTTTTTAAGTTTTATTAAATTTATCTAAGTATATGAGATACATGAGATATGTTTACATAGGATACTTTCTCAGTGTTTTAGTAACTGTACTGTATTACTTTCTAAATAGATTAAATGCCTACATTCTTTTTCTGAAGCAAAAAATAGCTACACCTGAAGTTACTGCAAAAATACTGACCAATTTAAAGTTTCTAGGTGCAGCCAGCCAATTATCCTTCCTATTGCCATCTTTTAAAGTCAAATTTATTTGCTTTCTAGCTAATTGCTCTGAGTATTCTAGTTTCAAAGCAACTGGAAGTCTATTACAGTTATAAAATAATCAAGTGTTTCTGAATCACAAGCTATACATTTCAATAAAAAATATATTAAGTAAAATATGTCACAATAATTACAAAGCTTCTCAGACAATGGTATACACTGTACCAAGGCTACTAAAATCTGGATTTTCTGTGATCTGACAAAGAAGTCTGTGAGTGAGGAAGGAGAGAACTGGAATGCTAATCCTGCCAGGACCAGAGCGGGCAGAGCTGCCCCAGCCCCGGGCGGGAGCAGCGGAGGCGGCGCTGGGATCTGCACAGCCAGGGAACGCCTGGAAACACTTTCCATCTTGATTAAAGAGTCAGAACTACACAGAAAGGAAGTCACAGCAAGCATTCTATATATAAACAGACTGTATCCACATAGTTTATTTCTCACAGTTCTCCTGACAATTGAACATTATTTAAGAACATACTGTATACACAGATAAGAAGAAACATACAAAATGTTTTAAATGATGCACAACAAAATCCAGCAGTATAAAAGAATGCATGTGAACCCTTGCTCACTGCTCAGGCTAAATTTAATCACTGTTTAAATAGTAATAAAAATACAATCTTTCATGGATCTTGTGCAGACTACAAAAGAGGAAAAATTATTACCATATATATGATTTATATTAGGCAGTTTTCTTTGATGAGTTGCACTAACAACTCCAAATACAGAGGCAGAAGGCTGTGTATTTTATTTTAAAGGAGTAAATGTTGAGTATTAGAGACTTTACACAGTTACTAGCACTGGCACTTTTCACCATATTTTGTACACATCACATGATCATCTTATATAACATTACATTTAAAAAATATATCTGAGTGACAATTTTATAACATTCACACAACATGAGCTGGTTAAGGAAGCAATGCCACAGTTGCCCCCTGTAGTGCTTCACTGTTGGTAAATAGAGTTCATTGTGGTTTTAAAAAAAAATTTAAAAATTGAAGGTCAACATGATTAAGCAGCTCCGATTTAATAAAGGCCCGTAGCCAACCATCGCCGAGACAGTGAGTATTTTTAGAGTACAGCCTAGAAGCAAACACTGTCATTGGTTAAAACCTTGCCTAAAGAAGTCAGTTACTGTGCTGAAAACTATTTCACAACAAAACTGCAAGCTACTAAACTGTTTTTATAGAAATACTTCATCTCCTCTGGATCTCATTATAACCAAGTTCTTCAAAGCCTTTGGAATTTACTCTATCTTTAATGTGTGCTCTCATTTCTGGCTCACCCTTTTGTATGTGTTTCTTTTGTTTAGATTCACCACCTAAAAGTGACTAATGTGGTGAAAGAAAATCTCCCAGTGAAACCTTCTGCACACTAGGAATGTTCAGCTGCTGTTCAGTGATCTAGAACCATGACAGCTCAAAGCTGTAGTTTGACAAGTACACCCAGGAAGCTGTCATGCTGTGAGTGACATTTCAGGGAAAGCAGAGTCTTTCCAAAATGTGCACAGAATTAACAATGGTGCCATTGTTATTTTTCAAAGAGGATAGTAAACCCAAGATGGTAGATCTGCTTCCCATGTCATCTATTTGCTGGAAAGTAGTTTGGGTCAAGATAATTGTAACTGGTGCCCTGGGACATGCAGTAGTCTCTGTCTAAAAATGTCTCTGCTCTGTAAATAGGTTCTAACTGGTGATCTTCCTTATGAATCTCTGTTTCATGCAGACTGCAAAGGAAAGAAAAAGATAACAGTTTAAAAGTCAAATATTTTCCTTATCTTTAACTTTCAGAAACAGTGATCATATGAGCAGATTCATACCAAAATGGATAGCAATTCATTCATAAAGTCTAATTCCCCCCTCTGTTTAACTGTACCAAACCTATCTGTCCACTGTATTAAAAAAATTATACATCCAGAATCTGCTTACAAAATGTATCTCCCACAAAGAGATGCCAAATTATCTTCCACTTCACAACACAGGATACGTGTCCTGTGCTGGAGCAAAGATTTCCACCCTACATAGCAATTATGCAGCAGAGATTCAATCTAATGACAAACAACAAGTAGGACAGGCTGCTCACCAGTCAGAACACGAATCACAGAAATCCAAGGACATTTCTTGAGGGCAGTCCTGGCAGTGCCACCGAACACCCTGGATAGGTTCAATCCCGCAGTTATCACACTGTGGAGCAGATGCAAGAGCACTGAGAAAACAGCAACTGGAGGCACCTCCATTGCTGACAGTGCACCCCAGTTCAGCACAGGGAAATCTCTGTGTGTCCCTGTGCTACTGCCAGCCCACACAGCTGCATTCTTCTCACCACGGACCACAGTGTACTCATGGATAATGAAGTTCTCATTCTCTAAGAGAGGCCCTCCATAGCCTTGAGGATCTACCAAGCTTTTGCTTGCTTCTCCTCCCCAGATGCTCCACCTTGGCATTATCCTGCTCGAGAAAAGCAGCCCAGCCCTGCCTGCAGACACTGCTTATCCTCAGGTGGCTCTAAGAACTGCTGTGACACAGGGATGTGATGTTTCACACAAGCCCTTTCCATGGCAGAAGGAAGCAGTAAGGCAAGAGCAGACCAGCAGAGCTTGTTGGGGGCTGCTGGGGCCTGTGGATCAGGACACACATACCCTTTCCAACTCAGGAAATGTAGTAACACATCATGGGTGGGCTGGACTAAAAGCCAGATGGCCAGGAAGGAAGGGGAATATACATGTTCAGAGAAGGAAACAGAGGTGTGGAACTAAAACTGAGCAAGAAGACAAGAACTAATCCCACGTGCAGGAGTGTGGCATGAAGACAAAAAAAAACGAAGTAAAAACAAAACATGAAAGACTAGATGAAAAATTCACAGTGGTACAGAAGGGGGCAGAAGTGCAAAAATATTTGATAAAAAAAAAAACAACAAGAAAATGGGACTTGCAAGCAAGGAGAGCTTTTCAAAAATCTAAATTATGAAGAGTGCTGCAGAGACACAACTGAAAAGGAAAACAAAATGAGGGAAACAAGCCTGTGTTCCCATAGCTCATCCTCTTTCCATCTATCAGAACCTGAAGTTCTGTCTCAGCATCTGTGAAACCCACTGGCACAGCAGCTGCTCCTGCCACCACTAAGGCATGCAGGGTTACAAACACCTTACACACAGATCTGCCACAGCTGCATCCCTTCTGTCCACAGATGGCTTTCTGAGTGGGAGGGCTGATAATGAGGAGGGACTAAGCACACCAAGAGCTGTTCTTTGAAAATACCAAGTTCAGAATAATGCTAGAACTGAAAAATTGGCTCCAGTTATCTGAATTGGAGAACCAAGACAGTGGAAAGCCTTGACCTTAATTTTTGTGCTCCAGCTCCCCTCTGCCCTGTGAAACAGAAATAATACTATGCCTTTCATTTCATAATGAAGAAAAGAAGTATTTGCAAATTGCTGGGATATTATAGCAGTGAAAGCCATAAAAATCCCTCGAGGGATTCAATAATTCAATATTCAAAGCACAGGTTGAATAATGTGTAGTAAATGAGGCCAAAGGCTGTGCAGAACCAAAACTGCTCTCAATGGTTGCTTATTAGGTGAGGTTTATCCAGCCCACAGACTGAATTTCCTGAGGGAAAAGAGTCCATAATCACCTGATTTCACAGCTTACTATAATGCATAATACAATCAAACTCAAATGCAAAGAAACTTTCAAAATTCAAATGCTTGACACTGTGTAATGCCAATTTACTTCTCAGAATAATTTTATGTAGAAAAAGCCATTTGTTAAAGTCTGGTCTGCCTGATTAAAGTTTCAAATTTTGAGGGGAAGAAAATGCTAATTTAAAAAATCCCCACAAAATGAAACACCAAACATACCATGCCAACTAAAACCAACAAAAATAAAAAGCACCTTGGTGGTCTAATAACTTAAATCGGTCAGTATCATTTTACAGTCAATTTGAACTGACCCTTGAACTATCCTTGCATTCTTATGTAAATGTATATTAGAAAATAAATCTATACACACAACACTAAAAAAACCCCACCTGTTCCAACAGTTACAGTAACCAGTTAAACACAAAATCCCTTGCAAACCAGAAAATAAGATTTCGAGAATGCCCTTTCTTTCATCTTGCTGATTAATGGTTTTTACTGGGACAACACATCAGCTTAACTTAATGCTCATTTTCTTAATTTTACATAAACATTGTTTTATGTCCTTGCTTCAACTTCTGTCAGTTATCACTTGATGAGATTGTAAAGTTGCTACAAAACAAAAAAAAAATATTTATCTATTACTCTTATCCAAAATCTCTGTCCCTTCCTTGGCCTCAGGTGGAGGCTAAATTACTACACATTCATAATCAGAAAATGATCACTAATGAATCACTGTCAAAACAGAATGTGGTATCAAACAGAATTCTATCATGATTTAACAAGGCTCTAATACAAGCTGTATTTTCATAATGTGGTAAGAAAAAGACAGAATGTTTATTAATTTCCATATAACATCAGCATTCAGTGAAAGCTAAGCTACCAGAAAGTGAATTACGTGGGCTGTTTTTTCTTAAAGAAAATGAGGGAAAACAGACTCTGTGAGCAAGAACTAAGGAATCAAACTTGCTGTATTAAACAAAATCTTTTCAGGAAATTCAAACCATATTCTCTTGAAAACTTCTACATTCCACTGAGCAAGAGAAAAACATCTCTTGCACTCACCTTAAATCCCACATGCTGCACAAACCCACTTTCTGCATGCATCTGTTGGAGTTTCTGTTTCTTCAATTTTTTAAACTCTAACAGTTCTTTGTATTCAGGTAACTCTCGATATGTTACTGGAATACTCTCTTCATCCTGTTCAAGGTACAAAAATCCAGAAAAATATTCTTACTGTAGGAATACAGTAACTAGGAAGACATCGATTTGTTCCATAAATCACTATGTACGATCAGTAGTGTTTAAGAAAATGATGGCATTATTCTAACATACTGGGAAAATATGTTTAAAACCATAACACCCATACCCAGTATTAACTTCTCATCTTCACTGGTAAGAATAAAATGCAAGGAAAAGCATCATGCCACGACTGAAAGAGTAGAACTTTCAGAGTTAATTCAACTCCCTTTATCCCTTTACTGTCTCTGAACAGCTTATAAAAACAGACTGCTATTTTTTCATAAATTATGAAGCAGTTTGTCTCCCTACAGGCCAGTTCAGACATCTTTGCCAGAGAGGTATAAAAAATGGTTCTCTCTTTTTCAAAACCGTGTGAGTTCTGTTTTTTCTCATGCAGCTTCCTTCAGCAAAGGTTGAGGATCTGTTATGAAAGGACAGAAGCTCCAGTTCTAGTTCAGATGCTCATTTCAAGGTAATGATTTTATTGTAGCAGCTGTAGTTGGTAGCTGTCACCTGTTTCCAAAGATGACAAGTCTTTACTGATGTAGAGCAGTTTTCACATCCTACACTGACAGGAACCTTCAGGTAGGGAAAACAACTACAACCACAAGATAGTGATTAAAATTCTGCTAATGTAGCCTGAATGTGTAATTTCCATTTCTTTTTATGAATCTGTGAAGACTGAAGATTCTGTATTATTTAGTAAGTTTATTAAAGGAAGTGAGAGAAAGAGGGTCTACCACATTTCTGAAAGGCCTTATCAATTATTTAATTGCAATTATGAACCTATATAAAGTACTAGACTGCAAACTAGCAGAAAAGTTATGGTTAAATTACACAATTCAATTGTGTAGTGATAAGCTACAGTCTCTTTATTATAAAACAGCATTCACCTTCCATGCAAATCTCATAAGTTTTTCTGAGAAAAACTGCTTGTCACAAAATAACTGTATACTGAATAAAGTATGCTTTAATAGCTCCCTGTGTGGAGAATGCATTCTGGAATAGTAAATAGCTGTGTTCTATAATAATTAGACTACTCACAAAATTAAGAAATCATAACTGAAAAGTAAATGAACTCTGTTAGGAATAGTGGATCTTCACTTGAAAGTAACTCATTTATACCCAAATATAATTTTTCAGGAATAGTTATGACTGGTAATAATCAGGCAAATTTTTTTGTCTTTACACAGGAAAAGCACATGGCAATTCTAAAGTGACATCAAAGAAAACCTGATTTTCCTGCTACACTGATTTTCTTCTGCTAAATGACACAAAGTATTTTCTCCAAGACAGCGACTGTCACTAAGATCTTTTAACACTAGAACAGAATCCTGTACATTCATTTTGAATATAGTTTACAATCCCTTTTTGTTTCCAAATTGCTATTGTTTTGTACTGATTGTGGGGATCTTTTTGGTAACTGAGCTGCCCTGTGTCTACTTTACTGAAAGTCAGAACTGTATCTATCTGGAAATGTTACTCTAGTGAAGGAAGAAAAGATTATGTCAAATTTTAAAAAAAGTCTCTGTGTGTGTGTGTGGCACATGACCATTACTGTCACTTGAAAAATGTGAAACTGCAACTTCTGTCTTAATAAAAATAAATCCCAGTTGATTTATAGTGCCCACAATTATGAGTAAGGGCACCATGGCAAAACCAAAATGTTTCAGAAAACTGTTCAGAACAATTAGAAAATATGTATTTAAAAACAATACAGAACAAGAGCATGTTAGCTCAACCAGCTGCATTGCATCTTTTCTAATATGCATTTTGCTTTCCAGGCCTTTTAAGATTCTTATTGGAATATGCTGAGTTATCAGGAATGTCTGTGGATGAGCTGAAAGACCATGACAGGGAGAATACAGAACATGAGCAAATATCAGATTTAAGACTGGGAAATAGATAAGTAAATGTAGTAATTAAGGAAGTCTATGCAGTGCAGGTAAAGTCAGTAAAGAAAATGAATGGACTTATAGTGGGTGGCCTCAATAGTTGTCTTATGCAACAAGGTTTTCACACACAAGATGTCACTAGGCTCACAAAAAAAAAATAGAATTAACTAGTCAGGTTCTTCAGTCTAAGGAAAACAGGAAAACCACAAAAACCACAGTGATTCACACCAGCTGTGAAACTCGCCCAGCTCCCAAGAAATAAGATATAGTCCCTCTATGATTCTGTATGGAAATGGGAACAGCATATGTCTAAATTCTTGTGGCATTACTGCATGTGATAAATTAGGAAAGTAGCACACTCCATGATGTAGCAATTCACTGGGTTAGGATGTCTACTAGAATTTGCCTCTAAGAATACATAAATATGCTTGATGATTGACAATTCTCTCTGTTAGTTCACACTCTGAAGTGGATTTTACTAAATTCATCATTAATTCAGCCAGCAGAAGATTAAAAAAACCAACGATGCCAATAGCATTTGAATCTTACCAGGGCTCTATGTAACCTTTCTAAAACACATCTTTAACAGAATCCCAGCTATATCATCTACACGATTTTCAAACCTCTCTCATGCCAGATCACCTACTAAAAATATGCAACTAAAACTTCTTAGAGGTATTTCAGGACAAAACAGTTTATGACTTACAGACTTCCTTCCTGATTTGGTCTGAATTCTTTGCTGTTGGAGGCTGCTATATTAATGATGTCTTTTATAATTCAAAATGGCTCATAAATCTTATCACAATTTAATACTCACTTGATGGTATCTAATGGTGAAGATGCCTAATCCACTAAACAAGGTTAAAGTGACAGCAAGCAAGACATTCTCTGACTCATTTAAATGACATACCGATACTTCCTCTTCTGCTGCAGTATCCATATGGCTGTGAAAACTGCATCTGTCATCATCTTCATCCATATAAACTGGAGGTTCATGAGATGTCATGAAAGTTGAAGGTTTGAAAAGATGTTTATTTAAAGGATGTTGCCGTCTACTTGATGACTACAGTGAAAAAATGGTATATTTTTAAAAACATTCCTTGGCTATTATTTAAATAATCCGCATTGATAAAACTTTGCCTGGAATTTGTTCTTTTGTACTAAATGACCCATGATGTTTCCAATTACTTATATCTCTCTATCATGGCCTCCCACTGCTGGAGTTCCTCTCCCCCATAACAGGTGGAATCCAATGAACAGTGCAATATTTTGGAAAAAATGCATCAAGAAAGAGCCCTTACCATAAAACCCTGACCATCTAAACAGGTGAGACTGACAGCAACAGTAAAAAAGAAGGTAAGGCTATTACAATTTTGGAGACTGAGGACCAGAGAGCAAAAATATTAAAAAACTTCCAACAGTGTGTGAGACTAAGCAAGGAAGTAATTTTGCACAGGTCCAAGAGTCAAAAGGTCCATGCTTGACACTTATTGACTTCTTGTATTTGTGCCTTAGTAAAAAAAGCCAAGTCTAGAACTATTGTCCTGGTGCAGGAGAGATAAAGCAATTCATTGCAATAAAAAGAGGATTCTGAGAGTTAGAAAGAATGGCTCTCTGAAGGTTTTCATTGCCACTGCATGAAAAAGGAACCTAAAAGACATTAAATAAATTACTCCATCAGTGCACATCTAGAAACTTTCAACTTTAATGCTGTCTGAAGATGTAGAACGCATGCCAGTTTTAAGAGGTTACTTAAAGGCACTCAGCCCCTATTACTTATTCCCCAGTGGAAGAATATTAAATATCAAAAGGAGGAATTTGGGGTGAATGAAACTGACTCAACCCCTTACTTAGCTACTTTCCAGACCAGCATTTTGACATTTAATGTCAAAACTTACATTACTTAAAAAAACCCTACAGTGTGAATCAAAAGTGTAAGCAGGAAAAGTGTTTTTTCTAACAATCATAAAAGAGAGGATTGTTTTACATAGTGCCTAGCTGCTCATACAGCTAAACCAAAAGGAACACTTGCAATAATTAGTACTTTCTCCTTTTTTAGCAAAAATTTTATCCCAAAAGGTTCCTCTATCAGTTACAAATTTGTAACGTTATAGTACAACCCTTTATCTCTAAAGAGGGATGTAGCAATATTTTACAGTTGTGCACAGTTCAAAAAGTAAAGGCACAGATGACACAAATGATTTAGATGGAATGCATCTATGCAGACAGAAGTACCAGGAGGAATGAGATTAACTCTGTTAATGGAAGAGATGAAGTCTGTAGTAACAACTGGAAGGTGGTACCTCTGATCTGCACAGCTACTACAGTGCAAAAGGGAAAAGAATTTCTTCTAAGACTAATGTACTAGACCTATTGTGTTGAATTTTTTCCACTTTCTGCCTTATGAACACCAGCTACCTGTGTTCTGGTGCTTTTATGGTTTCCCTTAAGATTTTAAACCTCTCGAAAATACATCCATGTATAAATTATATTTCAGCCTGAGCTGACACAGTGATTTACATTTTCTCTTAACAGAAAACAGATCTGCATTCAATACCAGATCTGGAGCCAGGAAAGGAAAACTGTGCCTATGCTTTTACAGCAGCACTGCCATGCATAACAGTGCTGTGACCTACAAATTGAACTGAGAATTTGAATTCTCTTCCTTTGGTGAAGAATGAACTAAAATACGACTTAAAAGCAGACAGTTAAAGATCATTTTCCCTGTGGGAAATATATCTCCAGATTAAGCTTAAAAGCAGGTGCACTAATGATATTATATAAGGACTAAATTGAAAATGATGAGCTGTAATTGAAGAACTGAATACTAGAGTCCTAAATCTCTGATCCAGTTTTATTTTCACCAGCAGTAGGTAATGGTTATACAGGAAAATAAACTGATGCATCCTGCTTAATTTCCTGTATCATTAGTTAGAAGAGACATATGTCATGTGAGTAGATATACAAGGTAACTTCAACAAGATGTTCAAAAACTGAACAAGCTTCTAACCTTTCCAGAAACCATTTTAAAAAAGCATCCTGAACAATCCCTGTGAGAAATGTAAGTATTTTCTTGTGAAGCATCCCTTTTGACACAAATCTTTACATTAAATATATCTATGTTTCTTATTTTCCTTAAGTATTAGCATCCAGTTTTCACACTTCTATTAGTGGCAATAAAGCAGATACACTACAGTTACAGTTACTCAATATCAAAATTAGGACAGGCATGACCCAGACTTCCAGTTGCCCTTGCATTTCCTTTCTGCCACATTTTATCTCCACTGGAGACCTGGGAGTAACTAACCTGGTATGGTGCTGTCAATCTGTGCTCTAAGCAGACAGCTCTATTAGCAGGCTGAGAGCTCCATTTCTCCACATACACTATTTATTTCACTTTTTCATCTGCTGTATTTATTTCTTACACAGGATACAAATATAACACAGGGATGCTGCTTAATATAAACCAGGGCAGAACAACCTAACTCTTATGACCTGGCAATAAGGATGTGAATCACACTGCAAAAACTGATGTAAGTATTGGATGTGTTCTAGATAGAAGGCTAAAAAGAAACCATGATGGGACCATTACTCTTGCAATATGACACTGTTAAGAATTTTATAGAAAATATGTTTCACTCTTGATTATACTGGGTTTGTCCATGGTGTAATCGCTGTTCATGTTAGTGAAAAATACAATTAAAATGTCCCCCATTGGCTGATTAAGTACTCCCACTGTTTATCAAATACAGTGACCTGCTGCCTGACAACATTACACAGTCTGTAATGATGGTCTTTCCAAACAAAATTAACAGGAAAGAACAAAAGGTGTGACCAAGGTAATTGTAAGTGGTAGAGTGACATAAAGAACTCAAACAATTATAATTTTCAGAACTAAATTTTCAACACCTGTTGAAATCAGCCACACACTAGTGTACTACAGAAATTAGCCCCAACTGTACAAGTAATTTGAAATTCTGACAGCTTGATCTCCATAGCATTTAAGGCATCACTGTTTCCAGCTGGTTTTTCAGTTCTTTTGCCAGAAAGCACTTTTCCAATAGACAAGGTGGCAGGCAATCATGTCTGTACCTTCCCTGCCTCTGTTCATACAGCACAATAATAGATTAAAATCCTGGTGAAAGTAAAATGGTATTACCATGATGGATGGCAAACTGGAAAGACTCCAATAGAAGCACTTATTGTTTGCAGTAACTCAGAGAATACCAGGAGCCAACTAAGGGTGTGTAACACTTCAAATCATTACACACAAACTGTGGTAGATGTTTGTATCAGCCCATGGACAGCAATTTTGTTTCCAACCTTTCAAAGAAATCTTCAAGTTTACCTTTTAGTAGAAACAATGGAAAGTTTACTCTATAACTTATCAGAAAACATCATGGACACCTGGATACAAACCAGTAAACCTGGTCAGTTATAGTAAACTTACAAATAAGGAGGAAGTACCCCAAGACCATCATTCTACCTCACCAGTTCAGCCTGCAATCTGAACACTTCACACCCCCAAAAGCAGTCCTCAATATTCAATGTGAAACCAGAATTAATATCCAATTCACTCCATAGTGCTACTGGCAAAAGAAAAAAATTACTTCATAAAGTAACTTTATTATATGAAAAGTATTAGTGATTCCAATCCAACTTGCACATAGAAATAGAAACATAGGATTCTGCAATAGTGTCTCACCTTTTTGGAATATAAATATAAGTTGGGTGTTCTTCCTGGAACTGGAATACCAGCTTTAGTCAGTTTAATAAAATATTTCTGTACTCTACTGGCAACCTAGAAAAAAAACAATATGCAACAACTCAGTGTCAAATGAAATGTAACTGGTCTTCACTCCAAAGTTTTGCCAGGATTGCTACATTGATTCAGAGTATCAGGAAAAAAAATCCTCTGGATTCTAATTTGTCACAACTATCCTAACTATACCTATCTTGCAGTGCTGCATCTGCACTATTTCCACATGCTTTGACAGCTTTCAGAGAAAAAAAAATTACCCTTCTTTAAGCATACACAGAAGATCTTGCAAAAATTGTGATAAAAAGAACTTTAGTAGTTTGCTTCCTGCTGCAGCTAAACTCATCCTTAACAATGGCAGATGTTATCCATAGTTAGCACACAGAAAGAAGGCCTCCATTTATGAAATAAGTATGCATGCCTATTTTTTCAGATGAGAAGAAACACAGATATGATCAGAAATGAGGTAATCCAGTATACTGAAGTACTTAAATATATTTTTATCTGAAAGCATAGAAATTTAAAAAAAGAAATTTAAAATACTGTAAACAGAATACCAGCATTTTTTACTTCTGGTCAAAATGGAGAAATTCTGTCATTTCAGGGGAAAAATTCCAACAAGTCAGATGCAGAACTACTTGATGTCTCCTCATCTGTATCCTTCTGTCTGATATTTACACGTCTGCCCATTTTAAAGAGCTGAGGTGCAGGAAATTTGGCACTACAGTGTATTTTAGTCTGAGCACAGTTGGTGTCACTACACTTGCTGTGTAGAATTAAATTCATGCTGTCAAGATCTAACGAACAATTAGGTTTAGCAACTTTGCCATGGGTTTTGGGGCACATTTAACATTCTGTATTTGAGACCCAGTGTAAGAGTCACATTGTTATTGATGAAATGTAGGCCTCACTGTTACATTAAGATGAAGTGATTACTGAAAATACACTGAATTTTCTTCACTGATACTTTTAAAAAAAAAGAGTGAAGATAAGGGATTACTTCTCAAAGTGTGTTACATGTTACCTGCTTTGCTGTTCTATTTCCCAGTTCATCTGCTATCTTCTGCCACCGTCGGGACTCCACCTCCTCTGGTGGATACTTCAAAAGCAATTGCTCGAGCTTTTTCTAAATCAACAGCAAAAAGGAATAAATACATTTTTTCTAGTACAAGTATGAACTATCAAATATCTAAATACATGTGACTCTGATCTCCAAAGTGCTATAAACGTTATTACACAATTTGCTTTTATGCTCATGTATGTTGCCACAGCTACAAAATTAGAGTTGCCTGTTACCTGTTCCTCTACAGTCCACAGCTGGTTAAAAGTTTCAGGTTTGGTCTCATCGCAAAGTCGCCCTCTTATCATCTGCTCAAATACAGGACATAAAATGGAATATGTGTTTAGAAAAATTATAGCTGGGATAATTGATTTGAACCCTCTTCCTACTTCAGTTAAACCAAAACCAAACCAAAGCATGAGACTTCTGAACAAAATCTGCCTAAACTGAAGTTTAGTTCTGGGATTTCAGTACAGGAATGGCATGTCATCATCAATATGAACATTTGAAAAACAATTAAGATACTCACATTCCATACTTAAAAGAGGAAAATTCAAAATTACTATTTCGTAATTTTTTTTCTTTCCTTTTGAACAATTACCTGTGGACGACTGTTTGTGGAACCTTCTGGACCATCACTTAAAGGCAAGACAGAGTATGAAATAGACTCTCCATCCTTCTTGGGATCCAAAGGACTTTTTGGTCTTGCAGGAATACCTACTGTAAGCAACACAGAGGAAGAATTATTGAACTACCACACTGGTAATTTCTTTCTTGTAACATATGCCCACTTTCTTTTACCTTTGTCAAAAATCAGCTTCACTCTCCTACTGTTACGTTTTCGGTTTTTGAATTCTCTCTCAAAGTTTCCAAGGCTAGTGGTGTATTGGTCCCAGGCAATCTCAGGGAGCTGAACAACTCTCTGAGGAAATGGAAGACCCATATCAACCTGAAAAAATAAGAATGAGAACTAAAAAGCAATATTTAATGCAATCACTTTGTATCCAAACCAAACCCTATAAATACTGAAATGCTCCAAAACCCAATGCTGCTTTTTATTTGACAGAAGAATGGAAAACCAGAATTTCTAAAGTGCCATGCAGCACAGTTTTTTTAAAGAGAAAGTGAGATCTTTCAAGAATTATACACAACAGTGCATATAAAATATGCAGCGGCACGGTCAATGATGGCTTATTGAGCATAAAACTTTAAAGTGTGCATTTCACAGCTGAAATCAGGTGTTTGACACTTCAATAATCTGTTTCTAACTGTTCTTTATTAAACATACCATTAGCTCAGGATGTGTACCTTTCTTATCCCAGGAACCCAAAAGATTCAGAGTTTTATCACCTGATACCTCAACTCCTCCCATCAGAGAAATCTATGCTTATTTTGCACTGATTTTGCTGTCTTCTGCCTAGAACAAAGCTGGTGCAAAGCTCACCTCTTTAAAGGTAACTGCAAGACTATCATTCCTTTGGTCCTTTTTGGAAAAAAATACACCAGAGTACTTCAAACTTTCACTAGTATTTCCCCATAAAATGATTATCAAATGCAACACTCTTACATCATGCATGCTATTACACTCTTCTAAAAACTTAAAAGAAAGACAACTACTGAAACCAAGGGGCTTACATGTGACCTAGAGTGTCTACAAACCTAGGAAAAGAGAACCATAACTTCACTGAAATACATGTTGCTATCACACTAGAAAGTAACCATGTTTGCCAGTGGTAGATGCTGCAGTGATACAGGATTCAAGCTGAAAACATTTTTTCAGTACTTCTGTTACTACAGGGTTTTTTAAAGCTTGAAAAGAAAATGTTTCCCTATAGAAATGAATTCTCCTCTATCAGACAATATTCTATTCTGTTACCTGTAACTCAGGTATGTTTTCTAGTGTTCACTTTGGGTTTGGAATATAGACTACATTTCCTGTTCTTTAAACATATCCTACCGAATTCAAAGCACAACAATTCATTTCTCAAATGAGAAAGATTAGAATTTTTGATCTGATACTTCCAGTCACCTGTAGACTTCAAGTTATCTTAAAATACCTACAGTATAAATAGAAATTTAACAATTACATTTCTATATACCAAAAAAAAAAGGAAAAAAAGGAAAGGAAGCATATCTGATAAAATCATTAAAGACCTATGTCTTACGTCTACTTACACTTCTATCTAGTAAGAAAGCAAAGAGCTATTTTTGCTCAGCAGTTAAAAGATTTTAAGCTTGTAATTTTATGCAAGTATATATATCTATTTTTCAATTTCTATAGATGCTGAATTACTAGTTATTAAGAAAAATTCCAAGTAAGACTTAGGAAAAGTCCATAGAAATACCTTCTTCTGGAGTCTTTCCACAAATCCAATAGGATCTTTCAGTGCTTCTCTCTGGTGTCTGCCTAAACTTTCAAGGTCTTGAACTGCTTGAGTACGTTGAGCCTCGAGTACAGCAATCGTCTGTAACAGTCTCTGATAACTACAGAGACAAAGGAAAACATCTCACTGCATTTGCCTTTAAAAGTGACACCCCCCACCTAAACACTAGCCATGGTTATCTACCAGAACCTACCAGATTTCACAGCTTATCTGAGCCATTTCATAAACATTCTACTGAATTATAGTAAAAATATATTAAATTTATTTTAAGACTATATGAATTATATAAACCCATAAGGGAAAATATATTTAACTCTCCAGTGCTTTCCTTCAAATGTAAATTCTACAGTAAGTGAAACAGAATGGTATCAGGGACAACTTATATTCATATTCTAAACAGCTGTAACCAACAGGCTTTGCTTACAAAGTTAAAAATACCACAAACAAAATGAACTAATTTCTCTTCCATTTCAACAGCAGCTTCCTTCTACCCCAATACAAGTGGCAACCACAGAATTTTAACATTTCACTCAACCATCCAAACACTGGACAGGAATGGTTTAGAAACACAGCATTTTGTAGAAGCCCCAACTCAGAGCAAAATATGAGAAGCATTTTTGAAATGTATCAACGAACAAAGGAATAAGTAATTTGCAAAATAAATTCAAACCAGATTCCCCTAAGAATAGAGAAGCTGAATGCAAATGTCAGTGTTCCCTCAAACGTGCCAGCCCAGACTCACACCAGTTTGGAGTCTATTTAACAGACACGCTCCAGCATCACTGATGGGACTGTCAAGCCTGTACCCAGTAACGTGTGACTTCCAAACTGCTTTTCATAAAGCTCACTCAAACTCAGTAAGTCATATGACATTTTAACACAACCTTTAAAAAGAGTTGACTACATTTAATACCTTTTATTAGATTTAAAGTTACAGTTGCCCACTTCAATTTCTGAAATCCTGTAGCTACCCATGGCCCCTGTTGTTGCAAATTATTATGTATTAACTTTTTTCATGGCAATGTTTTCTGACATTTAATATTACAACTGTAATTTAGTTCAGCACAAAACACACACACTAAAATCAGGTAAGAGCTGTTCACTACTACAGTATTTCAGTAAGTTTTCTTTCTGTTCCCTTATTGCTAAAACAAACAAGCCTGGCACAATGAATTCCATGTGTACTACAGAAAAGATCCAGAGGTTACTGAGGGAATTCAAGTTTTTCAATTGACTGCACTAATAATTGGGTAAGGCTTTAAATGAAGGGAAGTAAACAGTCTTAAGGCAAAATACACGCTTTATACCTTCAAATACTTAAGTTTCTACCTGGACATTAAACTGCTGCCTCTCCATGAGAAAAAGTAATTTTCTTTCAAGTCAAATGTAACATTTACAAACAGAAAATATAGCTAAACTTTCTGAAGTTTGAATCTAAAATACTGAGCTTGTTTAAAAACAACAGGAAAAGATTCTGTTATGAATTTATAACTATGTACATTTGTCTGCACATATTCAGGTTTACATGGAATCAAGACCTAAAACACTTGTTTAATAGGCCATTAATATTGAACAGTACTGAATATTTTCACTACTGGGAAAGTACTCCAGTTTCTTCTAATCAAAATAACTCTGCACAAAGCGAGATATTACATAGAATTATTCAGCAGGTGAAAAACTAACTCCAGCAACAGCTTACAATAGCACATCAGAACTGGCCTGAGACAGCAGCACAGCTCAGGTTGTTACAGTCTTACAGAAGCCATTGGCAGTGGATGAAGAACTTGACTGAGACCCTACACAGTGTGAGCTCAGGGGCTGTGGGTGAAGATCCTTCCCCAGACCCTACACACACAGTGTGAGCTCAGGGGCTGTGGGTGAAGATCCTTCCCCAGACCCTACACACACAGTGTGGGCTCAGGGGCTGGCAGCACCTCTGAGCCCTGGGGGCTCCAGGGAAATCAAACAGGCAGCATGCCAACATCCCCATGCAGATGCAGCTGTAACAACACAGAAGAGCTTAAGGATACCTGGGGAGAGGATTTACCCTTGACAACAAAAAGCCTGTTTCTATCAGCAGGTGCCCAAACTTGTGTTAACAGAGCCACAGTAACAGAGGCTCAGCAGCATGCAGAAATTTGCATCTAAGAAAAAGGCAGATATTTAACATTTTCTTCTTGAGCCATTTTACTTCATTTATTCAAATTCTATTTAAGCAATTGATTTTCTAAATGAAATTTTAAAAAAAGTAATAATTTCATTTAAAACGTGTAAATACATAGAAGTAAAAAGCATTAAAATGTTGGAGAGTTAAATGAAGTGATAATTTAATGATGATTCACATGTGTAAAGCGAAGAAAGAAATCATCTTAATGAGGTAGCCTTAAATAATTTAGTCTGAATGGAAAGAGATGAATTTACATTTGGGGAAAAATAACACAAACCCAAGAATATTCAACTGCAGTTACTTCCCTCATTAAAACATTCGCATGATCTCACTGAAGTGGTCTTTGTGAAATTAAGTAAAAATACAAGAATGTCAGGATCATTCAAAAAACATGTTACATGATACTGATCTGTGGCTACAGAGTACCATGATAATGGGAGAGAAGGGGTTTTTGAACCAACTGTTCGGACTAAAAGATTTCCCAGCACTTTTTTGTACCTCTACCAAGACACGGATTAACTTGGAGCTATTTACTTTAACTTCCATATTCAGTTTTTATGAATTAATATATTCTGAAGCCCAAGGATACGACTGCAGTTTTATCAAGTATCAGAAGTACTGAAATACACAAAAATGGGGATTTTGGGAGCATTCATTGCCTGAGAAAAAAAATTGAAAATACTAGTCCTGAAATACATAGTCTGCATAGTCCATATTCTGATACTTGCTGCAGAACTGCATTCTCCCCAAACCACTGCAATTCCTTTCAACTTCTACAGGACCTTTTAGTGAGCTGTATGTCTGCAAATGTTCTTTTAAGTTTTGAACAACTATTTTTCCCACACGTTTGTACAGGCTCTCTGGCCCTATATGACTGTAATAAAGCCAAGGATTGATCTTAAAAAACATCAAGCTACATAATAACACACACACACACACACACTGAACCCCTTCTTGAAGCCTCTGTCTATTCTGGCCTCAGTCTCAAATGCTACCATAATGCTCCTGCTGCATTATGCAAGACATCATGTGAATGAATAATTTCTAGGACTATTTTAAAAATGGCTAACAATTCTACTCTTTATCTTTCCAAATTCTTTGTTAAGTAAGCACAATTCTGATCCAAACTACCTCCTGCAATTGTGATAGAATTCTCCAAAATTGAAAAACTCTAATAAAAGAGAAAGTAGCTCATTAATCTACTGCAAAACTAGCTTCATCCTTCAACGAGGCACTCAAAGAGCAACCACCTCTACATCATCCAGCAACAGCTGCATCATTTTCTCTGAAAGATCTGTCAGGAATTACCAAGGAAAATTATCCCACAACCTTTGCCAAAAACAAACACACTCTTGAGTAAATTCACAGACAGGTTCCTTCCACTGACTGAAGTTACACTTTCTTCAGTGCTAAATACTGACTTGTTAGCACATACATAACCCACAGAAGTTTTCTTTGCAGGAAAACTTTCACTCCACCATCTTTCACACCACAAAACTTTCACGTTTCCACAATCCCAGTTACTGAAACACTCTTGCAAGTTCTTAGATCATGTTAATTGCCAGGAATCTTCTGGATGAACACTTGAATCATTCAGCACAGAAACAGCTTCAGAATCTCTGCTGAAAGACTTTGATTAACGTGGGGTTTGAGGGACCGATATTTAAAAAAGGAAAGCTACTTCTTACAGACTGACACTGATCAGCAGGAATTCCTGCTGGTTCAGGCTTTCTTTTGCAGTGATAAGCACTCCACTCCTCTGGACTGCTCCATGGAGTAATTATCACAGAACAGAGCCAGACTTCTGGAAGTCATGCCATAAGCAATTAGTTCTTACACAATTTCTATCAATCTTGTTCTAATGGTTATTAGAGATACAGAAGCCTCCTCTCTTCCCTATGACAAAACTTGAGAATAGCACAGCTATGTCCTTTCTGATCAGCTTGCTGAGATCTACTTTCAAAATGCTTCCCCCCTCCATTCTTTCCATTCTAACAGCGTTTACATTTCCAAATCAAAGTACTCAGTGTCACATCACAGATTTTAATTTCTCTGTGTCAGCACCTAACAGCAACCTTTAGAAAACACTAAATGATATGGAATCAATCTGCCTTAACAACTGCATGTTTCTTAAGGTAGCTCTTGTTTATTATACTAAATGACTTGGCACTGACCTACAAAAGGGGCGACATCATTCAGCATTTCTAAACAAATGATTTCATTTTTACAGTAAGAGTCTTGTCAGTCACAGAATCCCTCCATGGTTTCTGCAGCTTTCCTCTCCCTTGAAGAGAAGAACATCCTGTACTTTAAACCTTAGTTGAATGAACGATGTGAGCAACTGATAGTACAAAACAAAAGAGTTTAACTTTTAGGTAGCTAAATCAAATTAGTGGGGGAAATAAATTGGCTATTGATAACATTCACACCAATCAAAAAAAAAATAAACTCAAAATCAATATCCAAAGTCACCTGAAATTGCTTTGGCAGCTACACTTGCCTTACATCATTCAGTACCTTACAAAGATACGTACTTCGATGCCTAATTAAAAATAAGTGATTTATCCTCTTGACTTCTAAAATGCTGTAGAGCTGGTGGTTATCAACTTCCACTCCCAAAACTAACTGCACTTCTCCAGTTACATAGTTCACAAAATGTTAAAATGTACAGTACCATCAATTCTGGGGGGCTCTGACACTAAAAATGTGCACCATAATTTAAAAGTACTCATTAGTTCTTGTGGAGGTAGGAACTGTTTTACATTAGGGTATACACGTGTCTCATAATAAAAGACAGCTAAAATACATATATATATAAACCTTGTTATTTTGTATTTCCAAGAGCTCTGACACAAAACCAGTTATTAGTCACCAGGAGGATTTGAGCAAGTCTTTGTTTCATTGCCATCTGCTGGCACTCCAGCAAAATACAG